GTTTATTTTGGCTGTCTTGTGCTCTTCCTCCTAAATGTGCTAGAGTTAGGAATTGACAATTACCTCTGAAAATTAATTGCTGTAATCACAAGAAGAATATTGCGCTAACTGAATTATCTCCATGGCAGGCACAAGCTTTTTTGACATGAGATTTTAACACTAATGGTGAGCAAAAAAAAGAACAAGAACCCAAAGTGGTAATACAATCAAATTGTGTAACACACTAACAGATAAGTGCAGAATTAGTTCCTATTCCATATCTGAAAGATCCAATTTAGTATGAGCCTGACATTCAAAATGTGGTTTCTGTCATTACTAATAAAAACATGAAAGAACAAAAGGCTTAAAATGTAGCCTGCGGGATGGCAAAACTAAATAGCAGTTTGTTTTATTGAAAACAGTGAATAAAGAGCAGTGATGGGGAGTCTGTGGTTTTTCAGATGTTGAACACAACTACTAGCAGCCTATGCTAGCATGGCAAATGCTGAAGAGTGTTAGAAGTTGCAATTCAGCAGAATTTGCAAACCCACATGGTCTGTCTTTAAAAGGCACTGCTAGAAAACAAGAAAGGTGTACATCTTACAGGCTACATCAACCAAGAGTGCATGGTTTTTGCACAGAACTGTATCAGGGAATGCTGCATTGTTAACAATGAAGATCTAAATTTCTTCTTTGGACATTTGCCATTTAAATAAACCCACCAAATATGGCTCAGTTCATTAGACAGATAGATATGCACACTTTTAATTACCAAGCATACTATAGGCACAAATAAAAAGACTGTATAAAGTTTTCAAGTACCAGGGCAGGCACACATGGTTGAAATTTTGGACTCAGAAGCTAAATGCAGCCCACCAGCTCTTTAACCTGCCTACCAAGCAACCTAGATACACACATTTGAATATTTTTTCTTTGGCTTACATGACTGCTGGGCTGTACTCAGTTGGAATAGAGCATGTTAGTAGACCTACTTACTTTAGGTCAAAGCCATTGTCTATTTTTGATTCAAGCATCCTCAGCCATGTTGCATTCAACAGCTGGTCAGGAAACAGGAATAGGAATACTTTATTGAGTGGACCAGGAAATATTCACATGGAGCCTACATTATAAGTAAGTAAGCAAGCCATTTAAAAGTATTTTAAGTAAAGATTCATTTGAATGGATTTTTAAAAGTACAATTTAAAACTCTGTTTAAAGTGGCCCAATGTCTAGAACATAAATAAGATCTTGTCCATACCCATGCATATTTATTGAAAAGTAAACTCCATGTTGCACAATACAAGCTTTCTAAATCAGTATACACAAAGCTGAAGCTTTCTTCTTTCAGTAAGAAATCTAACTTCACATCTCTCTCTGTGCATGTATATATATACGCACATGGAGAAATTTGATTCTTGCTCCATTTTGCAATTGCAAAATGTGGACTGATTCCATGACAAAAAGTCTTTATAGGTTTTTAAGTTGCACAAAGGCCTCTTTTACTTGCAAACTAAAATATTGTATTTATTCTAGTGCATAATTTGTACTCATGCTTATAAAGGAGCTGTATGAATTTCAAATCAGGAAGCCAGATCAGATAATTTGATAACTTAAATTAGCCTTGCATTAAGTAATTCTGAAAATGTGCTGTATTTAAAAAACACCTTTCTACTCCAGTACCTGGGCTAGAATAGTTTCTTAAATGAAACAAATGCCCTCCATTTTATGTGGTAAGGAATTGGCCTACCCTATCAGATATTGCAGTTCATCAATTCCCAGTACAGGCAGTTTCAGAACAAATCAAAATAATTATTCCCCTGACATGCCTAAAATATATGCCCCAAAAGAACATTTGTTGTATCCACTGGTATAGAACAAATAATACCAATGGATTTAATCAATTTCCTGTAATCCCAAATTCCTGCAGAGAGCAGAGGGACATTCAAAACAGAACTAGCAGCACACAGAAGAAGAAAAAAACTAAGCTAAAATCCCATTGCAAAGGCAGAGAATTTAACCCAATGAAAGCAAAGGACGAGCTGTTTCTGTCTGTCAATTTATTGGTTCCTGCCAGTTTCCAATAATCTTCCCTGCTTTGACCCTGTAAGCCACGCAGCAAAGGCACAGAATGCTGGACAATGTCTGGGACCTGCAGAGAGAGGGAGGGAGCCAAAGGACAGCTGGCAGAAGGTGGTCCCAACCAAACATGCATCAGATGGAAAACAATTACCCACAGGTTCACTAAACATGGGAGTCACCTCAGGCCAGGCAGCTCTGTTTCATGCAATCTAAAGCAACTGGTTATATACTGGAAGTTGGAAGTCGATTTACTCATTTTTCCCAAGGATGATCTTTGGCTGTTTTTCTCAGAGGGTGCCGAGTGTCAAAGGTTCTGGTGAGGGGGTTGGCAGTAACATTCAAGACACTCAGAATCAGAAGATTTAGTTGTCAGATTTAGTTGTAATCTTAGGAATCCCAACTAGGAGCTAAGACATTTATTTGATATAGAAACTTCGAAAGAGTAGCTATGGGGAGATATCTTCCCCTTATTTTGCAAGAAGCCGCAGAGCAGGGGGAGATAGCAAAAGTGCCTCCTATGAAAGCGCTTAGCACCACCTACTGTCCAAATCTGCTAGAGGCCCCAAACAGACTGAAGGAAGGCAGTAAGTCCTTCTGCCTTGAAACATTCCTATTGCAGCCATTGTTGGAAGCTGATTACAAAATGATGGGAATCGGGGAGCATAATCCCATAATTACTGCTGCCTTGTCCAATGGAAGAAATGCCACCAGCTGTCTCAGAAGGCACAGTCCTAGTGACAGTGACAGCAGTCGGGTGGCAAAGAGACTCTGCAAGATCCTGGAAGGGATTCAGTCTTTGGTTCGTTGCTAGTACTTCTGAGAGTGCCCCAGTAGTAAACCAGGAGGCATAAAGGAAGCCCCCAGATTGGCCACAGATGGTTTCCAGGTTGAGTGATTCTGGTGATGCTCAGGATAGGCAGCAGTTGGATGGTTTTGTGCTTCGAGCCTAGGACACAAAGATACAGGTGGAAGAGAATAGTAGAGAGGGATAAACATTCTTCCCCCCTCCCTTCTTCACATTTACTACAGTAATGAAGGAAAAAAAATTCTATAGCACATGTATACCTCTCACATCTTCCTAGGCCATGGGTAGGCAACCTCAGCTCTTTTATGACTCGTGGACTTCAACTCCCAGAATTCCTGAGCCAGCCACGCTGAGGGAAAAGGGAGAGGTTTCCAAGCTGAGCCATGGTGGCTCAGGAATTCTGGGAGTTGAAGTCCACGAGTCATAAAAGAGCCAAGGTTGTCTACCCCTGGCCTAGGCTATCACTAGTCAATCTGCAAAGCCTGCGGCCGTCCCATTCATTAATGGCTGCCACCCATTTCAATATATTTTTTTTAATATTGTGAGTGTGTATTGTAGATCAGACCCTGTTGAAGTCTTGTTGGAGCAAGCTCATTAAAAACCCCTCTCATAAGTTTGTATCTGTAAAGACTCTACCAGAATAGAATAGCACAGGTTCAGTGGAGATACTTCTATAGCTTATTTGAGGCATCCTATTGATAATGAATTTTTTAAAGATGCTTTCACTTTCCTTATGCATCAAAAGGTCATACGATTTCCAAATATTTATGCAATCTGCTTTTTTTGCAGCTGTTTGGGAATATATCTTTAAATTTTAAACAGTTAGTCCTATTTAATCAGTTTTTATAGCTCAAAAGTAAACAACAAAGTTCTGGTATTTGGGACTTTAGTACCTGCTTCTTGTGTTCACCTGAAGCTTGTGGGGGGGAAGTAGTTTATTGCACAGACTAGTAAGGACAATTACTAATTAATCACTACTGAATCTGCCAAGGAAAAGCATTTAACAAGAACTAGTAGAATTTCCAGTCTCCAAGGTTCTGTCCAGAAAGAGCTACAGATAGTCCTGGACTTACGGCTGTAATGGAGCCTGGAATTTGTCATAAGCCATGATAGTCATAAGTTGAGGCACCCACATGACTGACTTGATTTTATAACCATTTGTGCAGCGTTTGTTAAGCAAACTCTGTAATTGTTAAGTGAATGTATTCTTAAGGGTGGGGTTTTTTTTTTTGCTAGAAACCAGCTGAAATGGCCGGTTTCTGCCAAAAAATGTCATACATCTTGTCAGGTGACTGTGGAAAACTGCAACTGGCTTTTCATGTGAATACTGGGTATGTGTCTGTATATTGCTATTGGAAATCTGGAAACCAGATATACTGTAAGTACCTTTGGGGGGGGAACCCATTGTAACTTTGATTGGTTGCTAAGTGATCAGTTGTTAAGCAAGGACTACTTGTGCAGGGTGGCCGAAAGACCAGCTGTCCCAGTTTGAATTCCAATAACTGGATTAGAACTTCCCTTGCTGGGATATAACACAATACAATATTTGCAAAATGAATGAGGTCAAGCTACGAAAACACTGAATTGTCAAAAGTTGCTCATCTCCTTTACTTGTTGCCGTAGCTGCTGCTGCTGCTGATATTCTTCCTCACTAGCCGAAAGCGCTCGAGCCAATGCCAGATCCTCCTCCTCTTGGGCGCTGTTAGAAACAGGATCAAAATGAATTGGGACAGCCTGTATAATTAATCCTTTCCCCTTCCTGAAATACTCATCCCACTATTGGTAGATTGGGACACACCAGGTGATCTTTAAATGGAGAATCTGTTTCTGTCTTTGTTCAGAAGGCCTGAGTAGCACAGAGTGCTTTGAATGCTCACCTTCAACCCCATGGTTGAAGAAACACAGAGAACTGGGCTTGATGTCACTAGATCTGCACTGGATCAGAGACAATTTACTGCTGCACAATTGGAGCACAGCTGTCTTAGAAGTTTCCCCTCTGTCTTACCCCAGTGTAACTTCTCAGTGAGGAGCCTGGCATGGCAGTACAATAAAGAGAGAATATTTGTAGCTCAGGGCTGAAATGAGGAGGTCTGTGGTGCTCTTTGAGCTTGGTTGTTTTCTTGCAGATTTTTCATTACCCCAAACTATGTAACATTATCAGTGCTATTCAGACTAGTACAGACTAGCACTGATCATGTTAACTAGTCTGGGTAATGAAACACCTGCAATAAAACAACCAAGCTCAGAGAGCACCCCTCACGATGATATAACTCTGTTGATTTCTGCTGGCTATCAGTACCTGCTGCGCTCTGGTTGGATGGCTGCCGTTTCCGCCAGAGACATCTCCAAGGCTCGCTGTAACGCTTCCTCTTCACTCTGAAATGAAGCACAAATGCAGAATCGGCCTATCTGAGGGAAATGAAAAACACCTCAGCACTTTTACAAGGCCGGGCACATTTCAAGGATCTGGGACCTGAGTGGTGCCATTGTTCTATTTTGCTTTCATGTATACAGTGGATTTTGTAGGCATGATGAGAATAAAACAGATCAAAATATCAGACAATATTTTCAAAATACCAGATTGAGGAGTTCCTACAGTATCCATACCAGCGATTGCTGCTAGACTCTGAGAGACATGACAAAAAATAATGCTGGATTTTTCTACTCTCCACTTACTCCCAACTCTCTAGCCCTATTTCCCCATTCCTTGAAACAATAGTGGTAAACAGCTGCAATAGGTTTGAAGAGCCAGCTTAGTGTAGTGCTTAAGACAAGGTGTTGGAAAAAGAGTCTCCTACATGAGGCACTTCTTTCCTGCATTTCATTCAGGAAATATCCATCCCACATCACTCCTTCCTCCCATTTTTACCACCAACTCTGTGAGGTAGGCTAGGATGAGAGAGAGTAACTGTCCCAAAGTCACCAATTAAACTTTCACGGCTGAGGGGAGCCTTCAACCTGAGCTGGGATATTGGTTAATTAATGGGATGGCTGAAGGAAGATCTGGAAAGAAGCAAAGACCATATTAGTTGGTTTCTCATGTGAACCGATGGTGGCCTACTTTTTTTTTCTAGGTCTCCACTGTGCCTTTAATTATTTAGATCACATTACTTAAATGCGATAATGTTTATTTAAGATGTGATAACAATTACCCTCTTTTGCAGCCATTCAATAGATGAGGGGAATATATCAACAGGTAACACATAACCTATATATTACATACAGAATATTGGCTAGACTTACCAAACCGTTCTGCAGAGCAGCAACAGGAACAGTCGGGCTTTGTGGCTGAGATGCTCTTACCGTTTCACTTGATCTGTATTATGCAAGAGAAAAAAGTCAGTTGCCAAATGCATAAAGTTGGCAAGTCCTAAAATTACTAACACAAATATTCTCAGGAGGTTCTTGGCCCCTAGAGGAGAAATGTGAATTGCTGAACTGGGATCCAGTTTTATAACATCTTTAGCACCAGCCAGGTTATCAGACTGAAATTACGGTTAAACGAATAACATCATTCTGACGGGCAGAAAACACTTCCAATGTTACTAGGTGATTTTTCTTCAGAGACTAATATACCCAAGCAAAGAAATTCAGGTTTTTTTTTTAACCCCTTTCCTTTGTGATCTACAGGCATCACTTATTCACACAGTCATGCACCTAACATACCTTCCCCAGCTCAAAGTCTATTTGGCCAGACCAGTGTTGAGTTCCAGAAGAATTGAATTGGGATGCTCACACAGAATGCTCACTCGGTCTGGTATCTCCCAAGAATTATAGTTCCCATCCATTTATACCTTCCAACAAAGCCTGGCCAATCCTAATTTTTCCTCACACTTCCTAATACTTTTTCACCGAAATGCTATTGCGTAATCCAGCTGACACTGAGAATTACAACTTGTGTCTTTTTCAAACTCTTCTTTCTGGTATTTTCCCACATGTTACATAAGCTAAAATCTACCAGTACAGACTGATAGATAGGCAATATATGCTACTGACAGCATACCAACATCAACATTCTGATACATGGTTATCATGGTTCTGACAGAAAATCTACAATGAACCTGGCTGCAACCATCTTGCTCATTCTAGGTTGCCAGTTATACTTGGTTAACATATGTTAATAGTAGTACAAGAATAAATTGCAAACTGTCCTACATATGTTCTAAAATATCTGGAAGATAGCGTGCTGTCTGCTCATCCCATAGACAGAGAAGTGTCAGGTATCATAAGTCATTAACAGCACTCATGGAAAGCTGTTACTACACACTGAAAAAGACAAGGAAGAATCCAGATTCACGTTGTGACTATACCTGCTGGAGGTTGGTTGGCTGACATGAGATCTCATGGCTGCGCTGCTAGATGTAGTGCTTACAGGTTCTTTGGCAGATTTTTGAGCCCTGGCTACAGCAGCATTCCTGGAACCAGAAACACTTGTTATCAGCATCAGCCTATCATTGCCTTACATGATCCCTTTGCCTTTCCCTGAAAATCCACTTTATGATTCTTTTTGACAGCCATGTTAAGTCCCACTCTTGTGTGATTAACTTGACTTTCAAGCTAAACTCAAACTGTAGGGATAATTAGCCCAGGAAAGAATTTTACTGAGATTTTAGGTAGATGTGAGGCTTTTGTCTTGCAATCTCAGTTTAATGTCTGTGGAGATACTCTGTTTTCCAGATCATAGCTGTCCCAAAGATGCTTTTTCATGAGACAACTGGCTCAATCCTTCCATTCCCCACCATCCAGTCAGAGCTGAAGAAGCTTCTTGGATGAGAAGCGAAACGGATTAAAAAAACAAAAAAACAAGGAAGCCCCGTTGCCTCATGAAAAAGTATCTTTGAGACAATCTCAGATTACTTTTTTTAGAAATGCCAGAAAATGGTGGAAAGTAACACAGATGGGTTGGTACCACCATTATACAATTATAACTTGTACAGTTCTCAGTCTTGCCTTTACCCTGCTTTGGAGAGTGAACGGCCAGCCCCACTGCAGTCATGGTCTAGGGGGTGCCGGTGTTTGAGGCAGAAGTTGCCATGACATTGGTCACAGAGCACCTTCATCATTTCCCGTTGTTTGCAGCCAGGACGCTGACACTTGTTGGTGAAGATCTAGGAAAATGGATACAGCTGAGCTTAATCAGAGTTGAGTGCAGAGTTAAATTGCAAGTAGAGAATCAACAATGTCTGCCTATTTTATTATTTATGAAGCCCCCAACCTCTAAACCAGGGGTAGTCAACCTTGGCTCTTTTATGACTCGTGGACTTCAATTCCCAGAATTCCTGGCTCAGGAATTCTGGGAGTTGAAGTCCACGAGTCATAAAAGAGCCAAGGTTGACTACCTCTGCTCTAAACAATGAAGAAATAACCCCTGAATTAAGATTTCTCCAAACCGTATAGTTTGATCTGGATCTTAAGCAGGCATATCCCTCTTTTCTTTCTTTGCTACTGCAGGCTTTCAAATGCCTTCCAGTGAAACTGGAGTCTCTGTAAACAGCCTAACCCAGTGGTGGCGAACCTATGGCACGTGTGCCAGAGGCGGCACTCAAGCCCTCTCTGTGGGCACGTGTGCCATGCCCCGGAGATGATGAGGGACTGGCCCCCGCCACCCTGGCCCCACCCACCCAGTCTGCCATGACCACTGAGGCCACGCCCACCCGGCACCCGTTGATAAATAACTGGGTTTTGGGTTGCAGTTTGGGCACTGGGTCTCTAAAAGGTTCGCCATCACTGCTTTAGAGAATTTGGTTGATCTTGCATTATCTACATTAATGGAACTCACACATTCGGATGGGAGTTTTGTACAGGCAAAATTTAACTTCTGGACTACTATCTAGCTTGAGAGAAGCATATCAACGCCTCCAGGAATATGGTTACCAAACTGTGCTGATTCAACATTAGGATATTCCTACTGGCCTGTGAGTCAGTTACTGATATATATTAAATTCTGATAGCTCGCTACCAGATACAACAGGAAGTGCTTTAGCCTCTCACCTTTCTCTTACGCTGCGCTGGGTCTGATTTGCAGTCTTGATCAATGTGGGCTCCCACCACAATATCAGGCATTTCTCCTCGCTTCACAGGGATAGGTGTGCTGCATAGTGGACAAACAGGAACCTGTACATCCTAGGAAGAGGATAGAGATTGGGTGATATGTAAGCACTTCCTTTGATTCATGCATCATACAGCAGACAATGGTGGCTTGTGGGTATTTCAGAGTACCACTCCCATGACCTTCAAGTTTGCATAGCTCTTTGTTTGATTAGGAAAGCTGTAATAATAAAAATGTTATCTGGTCACATTCAGAAACAAAGCAGATGTATTTATTTTATTCCATATATAGCTTGAATTATACTAGATTTTGAGTGATGACCAGCAAAATAATCAACATCACACTATAATAAGTCAGCATCTACTTCCTCTCAACCACAATTCTGCAGCATATAACCACCATCTAGCTATGCCTGTTCGTAGTTCTAGCCAACTATTCCTTCCAAACAGGATAATCTTTGTTTCCTTCTCTGTTTTTAAGTTCATCTTTTCTATGATATTTAGCATGTAGTAGCTATTGGACAAACTCAGTTTTCAAAAGATTTGTCTGTCTTTCAGTTTTTAGCATTTATCTGGTACTGTATGTCTACAAACTTAGGATTCCTCAAATAACTCTTATTTCTAGTCGGTCTGGTTTGCCTGCAATGATGTTAGGACTCCCATTCTTGTTTGTTATTAAAGGGAATGAAATTGCATTAACATTTTTCTATAAAAATTTAACCCAATAGAGCAATTCTTGGAAAATTGACCAACAATGCATTCCGGTTATAAGACAATTGTTAACAAACCATTTTTGCATGATCGTGTTTTATAAAACAATTTCTAGAGAGATACAAGGATTAAAAGATCCATGGCATTTTTCAGATTGCCAAACGTAATCTGAAATGTACCACAATATAAAGAACTGACACACAGATGAAAAGGTCTTGCAACAGTGGCCGGTTATTTTCTTATTTTAAGTTTCCTTATGTGGACAGCCCATTTCACAAAATTGATGGTTTAGAATCATGGAGCTGAAAGAGCAATTTTAGGTATTTTAGCTCATTTTAGTATCATTGTTCAGTACAGGAATTGAAATTAAAGCATCCTCTGCAAATGACTACCTAGCTCAGTGGTTCTCAACCTGTGGGTCGGGACCCCATTTGGGGTCGATCAACCATTTCACGGGGGTCGCCAAGCAAGGCTGTCCGCCATTTTTTTCCCCTTTTCCAGCGGGTGCCTTACCTCCATTGGGCTGGGCCAGCTGGTGGTCGGCCTGCTCCGTCTCTGCCGCTTGCCAGCTACGCCTCGGCCGGCGCAGGGGGCGGAACCACGCATGTGCGGCGCTCCCGGGCAGGGAAAGTCCTCGACTTACGACCGGTTTAGTCCTTGACTTACGACCGGTTGGGGTCGCGGCATTAAAAAGGTTGAGAACCACTGACCTAGCTTCTGTTTTCTTCCAGCAAAAGGAACTTACCACTTCTTTTCAACTGTTCTTATAGGTTTCCTTCCCCCCTCGATTCAATTATAATCTGCTTTAATATTACTTATTATTTTGTATCTTAGAATCTGGTATCATAAAAGACAGGACAACTTTCTGTAGGACATAGCATTCCTTCTCTGCATTATTCTTAAAATGTGGTGTCTAGAATTGGATAACATATTTGCTGGTTATGTCTGATTAATGCAGAATTTTGTAGAATTTTTTATTTCCTTGTTTCTGAAACTATATTACTGCTTACCCAGTCTAAAATTTTATTTCGCTTTTTAGCCTTCACACTAGAACGTTGGTTTATTCACTTTGTAGTCACCTATTATTCCAAGACCTTTTTCATAAGGACTATGGTTAACCAAGGTACCCACCCTACAGCTGTGCATTTGACTTCTATAAGCATCCCGTCTCATCTCTTCATTCAAATAATTGATTCAAAACATTCAGAATACATGATTCGACTTTGCAACACTGCGTTCAATATTCTCACAGTGAGGAAATGTTCGCGAGCATACTTTTTTGTCAGGCCATCCAATTTATATTTAACTAGTTTGTTAATCATAATGTGATGGGATGCTTTGCTAAAATTAAGATACATTATCTATTTGGTACCGTCACATTCTATGACTATAATGAAATTACAAGTCAAAAAATCAGTTAAGCTGGCTAAATAGCACGGCCTTCTTTATGCTGTTTCATCTGAGGTTGCAGAAAGAACAGCTTTCTGCTCTTTTGTGCCCTGTACAGGACAGAATCAATGTATTCTATGAAATTAGGAATAATTTGGTCCCCTCCAGTTTTACTTACCTTCTTGTATGCTGAAGTGCAGCTATGATGGGCATAGGCAATATGGTCAGTGCAGAATAGCTGTTCACATGCATCACATTTCAAGGGGAGGAAGTCTGAGGGCAAGAAACAGCAAGCCATGAAAAGCTGTACAGTGTACCTCAATGCTCATCATTAATTGGTTCTGGGAGGTGCGATGCGTACCAAAAACTATGAGTACCAAACATTTTTTTCCCCATAATGATAATATAATGAGTCACAAGGCAGCTGACACTGAGAAGTTCTAGCTTGTGCACTGAGTATCAAACAAATGATGAGTGCCAGTTCTAGCTTGTGCATTGAGTATCAAACAAATGATGAGTGTTAGGACAAAATTTTCATGTCAAAATTAGTCAAGTACCAAATCTGATGAGTTTCAAAGCAGTTGAGTACCAAGGTACCACTGTAAAAGTTTTCCAATGACATTCTAGGCATTTTACTGAATGCCATGGTAGTAGTATTGTCAGACTTTATTTTAAAAGGTACATGCCTTTTAAGCAGATGAAAAAATGTGAATGCAAATAAGATACCATGGCAACTAATTCTGCAAATAGATTAAGATGCAATGTCTTGGGTAAAAATATCAGAAAAACTGGAAAAAAAACCCACTCTCAAGATTTTGCTTCCTAACTTTCTCATCTAAAAAATAATCTCATCAAATACTCCAAACTATCTTTCTGCTATCTACAACTGTTGAGCTGTAACATAAGCAAAAACTAATGATTTATTCACATTTGTTCATACTGCCATGTCTTAACACAGAACTGGATTAAACAGAATAGAATGGCAAGTAACCTGGTTTGTTGGGAAACATAGACACATCATGTAACAATCCCTAAACCTACAGTAAAAAAAATTGTGACAGTCAAGTATAATCCCCTTGAAATATCTCGGGAAGCAATATTTTTTGAATTGTATAAATTGAGAGGAAATTTTCCTTCAGATATGAAGGGTGGGGGAAGAGTCCTCCACATTTACAATTTTCAATTACATTATGAACTTATTTCCTAGTAAATAACCCAGGATTTCACTCCAAGGAGTTTATATCTCATATCAAGCAGAATCCTAAAGATCCAGATCTTTGTACACAACCTCTTACCAGCAGTTTACTGAATGTTCTAACATTCTATGTTAGAGTTAGGCATAAGATGTATGCCAGCACTCTGTATGGAATCTCTCCAATTTGAAGAATGCAACAATTTCTAAACTCTAATTAATGTCTATGTTACATTCTTAATGTGGAGTGCTCTTCTAAGATGGCCAGCCTTATTTCATTGTTGGGAATGAAATGTATCTAATTAAAGCAGAAAACAAAAGCTGCTGGTCTGATTTCTTCTGGGAATAAAGCTTTTATCTTCACATTAAACATCAAAGCAGCTGGGGACTCAAAGCTTTTAGCTAAGGAATTGCCAAGAGTGCATCTCCATAGAGAAGGCCCTGCTTATCTCTTTGTTTAGGAAATAATTTTAAGTGCCATCACTCGGACATCATTAATGTGGCAGCTGTTGTAATATATACCCCCACGCAAAGCCATTAGAAAACATATAACTGAAGCTATAAAGTACTTATAGCAATTGTATTGACATGATTTTCAACCTGCAACGTATTATCAAAACAATGAGTTCAGCAGGCCATCCACTCCCCAAAAAAGCCCATTCCCAATCCTCTCTTAAGATCAGAATAGAGCTGGAAGGGACCTTGGAGGTCTTCTAGGTCAGGGCTTTTCAACCTTTTCGCCCATTGTACCATTTTTAGGATATGGCAACATCTGAGTACCACCAGTCGCCTAGCAAGGTGTCAAAAACTTGATGACCAAAAAAAAAAAAAAAGGAAAAAAGTGATAAAGTACAGGTAGTCCTCGACTTACAACAGTTCGCTTAGTGACTGTTCGAAGTTACAGTGGCACTGAAAAAAGTGCCCCCCAAGCCACAGCTGAACAAGACACCTGCCTGCCTGCCCGGCGGCGCTCTTCCTCCTGTCCGAGGTTTTCATTGTTGTGAGCATTTCTGTTGAGGATTGGCAGCAGGGGTGAGGGGTGTTTGGTTTTTATTCCCCCCGTCTGCTGGGTGGTTGCAGTAGGTTTGGTCACTTCACATGACCCTGGGGCACTGTGACCGTCATAAATATGAATCAGTTGCCAAGCATCTGAATGTAAATCACAAGACCGTGGAGATGCTGCAACATTCCAGCTGATCAACGCTTCTTCTGGGCTCAGCAGAAGTGCCAGGATCAGCACCACGCTCCAGCTGGAGCCTGGCGCTGATCCTGGCGCTTCCACTGAGCCCTGACAGCCCCGAAGAAGCGCCAAACAGCTGGAAAGCGGCACTGATCCTGGCGCTTCCGCTGAGCCCTGCAGCTCCAGCCATCTCTCGCTCAGGCTTGTGCGGTGCTGCCACCGGTTCAGCTCATTTCTCTCCCCCGCTACCATTTTTTCTTTTTAATTTCATGTTACTTCTCTCCTTGATTAGTTACCAACCATTATTTCTTGCCTTGCCTTCTGGTAGTTTGGAAAATAAGTTGACACCCTCTTCTTTGTGGCAATCCCTCAAACACTGGAACACTGCTATGATGTCACCCCTAGTCCTTCTTCTGCATCTCAGAAAGTATACCGCAAAGATACCACTTCTCATACAGTTGTTAAAAAATAAAATGCAACCCATGCAAATTCCCCTGGTTGCCAGAGTTCTAGAAAAGCCAGTTCCACGATGCACGCTACAATCTCGATTGTAAGCTACGCTGTTCCCAGCGCTGGGGAAAGAGTGGAAGATCCCCTGCTTGCCAGTTTCCCCGTCCTATCACGCATGGCTGGAAAAAGTCCCGATTCTCCCCTCGACCCACTGCCTCCCTTTCTGCCCTTCCCAAACTCCAGCCAAGAGAACGAGCTGGGGTGGGCGGGGAGGCACCTTTCCCCCTACAGCTGAAGGCAAAATCCTCACCCAGGCGCTTGCAGGAGGGCTCCGTGCAGTGGGCTCCTAAATCTGGGAACTCCATGAAGCTGTCAACGGGGTCGATCCCGGGAGTGGCGGGGGAGGAAGGACGGTACCTGGTGGGAAGAAGAGACTTACAACCCAGGGGCTCCGACAGCGGGGGAAATGCACGGCAAGGACGGAGAGCTATTATGACCCAGCGGGGCTCGGGTGAGATGCAAAAGATGCAGCCGAGAAACAGCGAGAGGGGAGAGAGCTGCAACACCCAGAAGAGGCAGGGGAAGAAGGAGGAATCTGGACAAGCGGCAGAGGGAAACGAAATCAGGGGGAAAAACAAAGCCACCGTAGCCAATCATCCTCACCCAGCTCGCTGTGTAAAACAAGGAAACCTTTGCGCCTTTTGCCCCACCCACTTCCGTCCCTAGCTGCGATGGCGTCATGGCATCAAGGACCTCTCCGTGTCAAGAAACCTGATCCCTACCCGGTGAAATTTGGGATACCGTATTCCGGCGGCATGCCGGGAAATGTAGTACGGATGTGAGAGGAGAGGGCTCAGCCACCCAAACAAGTCTTCCCTTGGCCTCCAGGGCGCGCTTAGCAGAAACTGATGCAAGGCGCGCGCGGTGTACGATGGTAGTTGTAGTCAGGAGCGGAACAGTTCCCGTCTTCTCTTTTACGCGAGGAATTATTGACCAAGAATTCCGTCCGAGGTTGGAATTGCCTTTAGGCAAAGAGGCCGAACGCTAGGAACAGCCATTGGAGACATTCTAGTCCCGCCTTAGCCGGAAGTGTCTCTATGGTAACAGTAGGCGGATCGGGTTGGGCCGGAGGGGTTAAGCCAGCGCCTGCCCCGGAGCCGGTAAGTATGTGGGCCCTGTAGCCGCAGCCCTGGGTAATGGATCGCCTCTCCTTCTTCCGCGGGATATTGAATTCCCGGAGCGCCTTTGGCCTGGACTGGGCTGAAGCGCCCGGCTTTTAATTTCCAGTGGAATTGAGATAATCTGAAACAGCTAGTCTGAACTCCCTTGGATGAAGCTCCCTTTTCGGCAGATTTTATTGTTATTTATTTATTAAAAACATTTAAGAACCCCTCATTTCAACCCCGAGTTACAAATATTCTTTATTGGCACATCTGTATGGATTTATATAGAAGCTGGGCTTATTTTCCTATAGATCGGTCTTTGGTTTCTTCCCAAGTGTTCCTTCCTTCGTGTCTTGAGGTTGTTACGGTTCTGCATTTTAGGGTTACCGCATGGTAATTTGAGAGAGATTCGTGTAAAAGAAATAGCTGTCCAAATTTAAATTGAGCAGGCCTTTGCAACGCTCAGGATGGGTGAATCAGGGAGACCTTCAGATCGTCGGCTATTTGCCCTCAAAAGTGTCAAAAATAAATCTCCCCTCCCCCCACTTTTGGATAATTATTTTGCCATCCTTTGCATCAGCGATATGTGATTACAAAAGATGAGTCCTTGTGTTGCAAGGCACGTGGGTAGGCAAGCTAGTTCATACAATAGGTGTGAGAAAGATATAGTTGGAATGATTGTACAAGCAAGCATTGTATCCATGAGACTTTTTAATTCTATCATTTCAATAGGTGATATTAAATTTTATAGGCATATTCCTATCCGCGGGAAGAATCTTCTTGTAATTATTTCAAGTCTTGGTCATTTGTCATAATAGACATGACTACTGATGTTCGTTTTTTACTCATGGGGAAATAAAGCTGCCGAAATGAATGACTTGCCTAAGTACTTCCATAAGTCCAGGCTCAACTTTCTGTCCATATTTTCTTGGTCATGACTTTGTTCTTAATAATCTTTTTGTCATTGATGCAGACATTACTTTTATTTGTTAATAGATGCAATGTTTCATTTGGAGGCATAACTCAAAAAGGAAGGTGCCTAATATATTCAGAATTACAAATGTTAATGCAATTCTACCTTATGTTGACAGAAACATAGTATCAAAATCACATGGAGTATTATTCCCCTCTGCTTTTTAGTAATCCGGTTGGGTTTGGCATAATTAGTCCAGTTATGGACATCATATTTAAAGAATATTGTCAAAATAGAGAATGTTTATAGGAAGATGACCAGGATGGTTAGGATCTGGAAACTAAGCCTTATGAAAGGAGCAGAATCAGCTTACACTGGAATAAAAGCATCCTCATATTACCTCCCATATTCTGAGAGATGCTTCAGATCTGGAGCAAGTGAATGGTGAGTACAAAATTAACGAGGATTTGGCAAAACCCATTTTCTCTGACTGTCATTAATAGAAGTCTCCACTTAATCAAAAGTCTCCGTAATCAAAGTGGATTCAATACGTAATATTTTCAGGAGGAAAATAAGGAAAATAAGAAATGAGAAAATAAGAACACTGGTTTGATTAGGTCTCAAGTTCAAATTTTATTTCTTATGTGTTTATTATCTGAGGAGTCTCTAAACAGGATATTAAGGTAACACTGCTTTTCTGGTTCAATTCTGTGCAGTTGGTCTTTAGTGGCATATTCCTGAGCTTAGAAATTTCAATTAAAGGGAAATGCAATGTGTTTGTGAATTGATTTATAGTATTAAGATGTTTCCTACCATATGCAACTGCTTCCAAGGCAGCACATTAAGATAATAGCTAAAAGCAATAGATGGCAGATGGCCTCTCTGAGGAAAAGATTTCATACTTGGGAGTGTCTACTGAAAAGATATGCTCCCAAGTATTCACTTATTACATCTCCAGCAGTTACAGTAAATGTTGTTACTGCTTAAGACCACCAGTGTAGCTCATGTTATTAAATAGGTAGCATCCAGGCAGAAGGTTTACAGGAAAAAAAAAGATGAGAGTCTTGGTGTTTACAGATGCCCTTCATTTTACTAGAAAAAAATTCACTCATCTGTTAATTCATAGTGTTAACTCTTTTTAACTTACTCTTGTGATTTATAGATGTCAAGGCAAGTTAGAACATGTTAAATGTTTACAACTTTCTATTTATTTTACAGTAGTACCAGGAAGCAATTTGGTTTTCGCATTATGATTTGTACATTAATGGAAACCATAACAAGAAATCAAAATGTCTGGTTTTTATAGGCCTTAAGAAAGTCAGAAACTGCTACTTTAACCAATATTTCCAAATTAACATTTTCGTCATCTTATTTCATTATCTGCTTCATAGGAATATTCAAACTATAATCTTTAATGTTTTCTCTATTTTCTGTAGTAGAATCTCAGCCTTATCAAGCAATTGAAGATTAATTCTTAATACATTGGCACTGTATTGTCCATAGTGAGATTTTAGAGCTAGTTTGGTGTTGTGGTTACAGTGGTAGGTTAGTGATTTGAGGACTGTAAATTCCAATCCTGCCTTAGGCACAAATTCAGCTGGGTGATCTTGGACCAGTCACTTTCTCTCAGTCCTAGGAAGAAGGTAAGGACAAACACCTTCCGAAAACATTGCTAGGAAAACTGGAAGGACTGTTCCTGGCAGTTGCTAAGAGTCAGAACAGAGTGGAAGGTATATATATATAAAAAGGTGTTACCTTTAATTAATACTAAAAAGCATCCCACTATTTAAAATTAGCAGCAAAATTTATTTCCTGGCAACACCTCTAAAAATTATTGAGTCCACATATTGTCTAAAGCCACAATTTGGCTCACTAGGTTTGGTTTAATTGTATTAAGTACTCAACCATTTTATAACCCATTTAGCAATTGATTGAAGTTGCATTGGCACTGAAAAAAGTGGCCGATGTGTGAGGACTCACACTTATGATTGTCACTGCATTCCCACAGTCATGTGATCAAAATTTGGGCGTTTGGCAACCAGCATATATTTATGATGGTTGCAGTATCCTAGGGTCATGTGATCACCATTTGTGACTTTCTCAGCTGGCTTCAAAAAGCAGAATCATGGAAGCTGGATTTGCTTGAAGACCATGGGACTCACTTAACCACTGCAGTGATTCACTTAACATCCATGGCAAAAAAGATAAAATCAGGCACAACTCACTTAAGAATTGCCTTGCATGGCCATGCAAATTCTGGTCCCAATCATGATCGTAACCCCAAGACTACCTGTAGATCATTTTTAGATCAAGTCAATGCATAGTCAGATATGAGAAGAGAAACAGTACCTGTCAGTGTGTAAATGAATGATGGGAATAGAGAGTATTCAATGTATTTTTATTTTATATTGTTGAAAGAAAAGTCTTCATCGTGGTTCAGTCCAAGCTGGGAATAAACATGGTGACTGCTTTAGAAAGAAGGTTGCAGTTTATTGAAGAGGAGAGCCAGACAGAAAGATGGCTCTGGCAGAAAAGAGGGCCAGCTCATGTAGGGAGTGGTTTTTTATACCCTCTGGAGCCTTTTGTTTGTGGAGTTGTTCCTGTGGCATGAACTTTGACCTGAGTCTGAGTGTGCCCTTTGGTATCTCTGTGTTAATCCTATTATGTCCTGTCTTAGAGTTTGGATGAAGTATGTAGATTTTAGGAGTCTTTGTCTTCCTAAGCTTCTAGCTGGGGGCTTCCAACCTTCCTGGATGGTTTACATCTGCATTTCTATAGAGTTGGATTCTGCTTGGGGGAGGGAGACTTGGGGCTATTAAGAAAACCTGGGCATGCTTTTCTGCCTCTTTAAGATCCTTTGAGGAAATATATTTTTCTGCCCTTTTAATATTTCCTTCTCTGGGGGCTGACTTCCCACAATATTTTTTAAATATCAGAAAAAAATAAGATCTGCTAGTTTTATATGTTTTAAAGAGCTGCCAGTTCTACATTACATAACTAGTTGAATTAAATACGAAGTATCTGAAGTCCAATAAGCATTTCTGAATATGTATTATAATTTCCTTGATGACATTTTCACTGGGTAGTTTTGACTGAGAATAATAAACGACAAATCAGTTTTATTTCCATAATAAATTAGCCCAAATCTACTTTGTGGCAGCATGGTCTCCTAAACCTGAAATTACTGTCAAAAAAAGGAGAACATTTCATATTATATTGTCTTGATTGGGAGAAGGCTACAAAAAGAGGCTGGTTAATTTATTTTCAAAGTTACGATAAAAGGTTCGATATGTAGGGGATAGGGCTGTCCCCTTTAAAAATTGTTTTGTTAGTATTATTAGTGTATCAGTGTTATTTCTAAAGGAATAGGAAGATATTGATAGTATTTCATACTTTAAATGCAAAACTATTTAGTTTTTTTAAATGGATATCTTACCAAATTGGGAATAGATAAAAGATAGGCTGAGGAAATGATATACTTGGTGCAGTAGCTTGGCATTTGAATTCTTACTTAGCACTATGCATATTTATTTGGAGTAACATTTTTGGAATTCATTCTCAATTAAATCCTTGGCAGTACTGCATTTCTATTGTGGTGTTAATTTTGGGATGCAGTTCAGTCCTCAATAAAGTTTGCTTTTGAGATGCTTCTCATTGAACATACTTGTCAGAAACTACCTGATTTACATTAAACCTCAATGTAATACAGAGAATTCTTATGACTGCAGT